TCTTAAAGACATAAAAACATGGATGACCCTTAATTTTCTCCTGTTGAACACAGACAAGACTGAGGTTTTGGCTTTTGGACCTGAGCACCATAGGAATGAATGTTTCAGTCTTTCTCCCTCCTTAGATGGCATTAATCTGTCCTCCAGCTCTAATGTTAAAAATCTTGGTGTTATTTTTGATCAGGACATGTCTTTTATCCCCCACATTAAAAACGTTACTAGAACCTCCTTCTTCCGCCTGCGTAATATCACTAACATTAGAAACATCTGATCTAAAGATGATGCAGAAAAACTGGTCCATGCATTTGTCACGTCTAGACTGGACTATTGCAATGGTTTGTTATCTGGATGTCCAAATACTTCTTTAAAACGTCTTCAGTTGATCCAAAATGCTGCTGCCAGAGTCCTAACTGGAGTTACTGGGAGAGATCATATTTCTCCAGTTTTAGTTTCTCTCCATTGGCTCCCTGTCAAATCCAGAATAGAATTCAAAATCTTACTTCTAACCTACAAAGCTCTCAACAACATAGCTCCATCTTATATTACAGATCTTATTGTTCCATATTTTTCTAACAGAGCATTTCACTCTCAGGCTGCAGGTTTACTTGTGGTTCCTAGAGTTTACAAAAACAGAATGGGAGGAAGATCTTTCAGTTATCAGGCTCCTCTCTTGTGGAACCAACTTCCAGTTTCTTTCCGTGAGGCTGACACATTATCCAGTTTTAAAACTAGGCTTAAGACTTTCCTTTTTGCCAAATCCTTTAATTAGTGTCGGCTTGAGTTTCCTGAGCTGTCCCTTAGTTATGCTGCTATAGGCTTAGACTGCTGGAGGACAAACGTTGGTTACGTACTGTAACCCTAGAATCTATGAGTATAGGCGTAGCCCTTTAAGAGCTGTCACTGGTGGGTTTATCCCGTCATGCAAAGCATCGCACTGAAAAAAATTTAGTCCACGCCCACCTGTTGTGTGGGCCCCACCCGGTCCATATAAATTACGTTAAGAGCGGGTATTCTGCTCCCAAATAGCTTTTTCTTCAGCCATTTAGGAGCCAGTGAGGCCCGACACTTAAAGGGCTACGCCTATACTCATGGAATCAGGGGTTACATTACGTAACCATCCATCCATCCATTTTCCTCCGCTTATCCGGGGTCGGGTCGCGGGGGTAGCAGCTTAAGTAGGGAGGCCCAGACTTCCCTCTCCCCAGCCACTTGGGCCAGCTCTTCCGGGGGAATCCCTAGGCGTTCCCAGGCCAGCCGAGAAACATAGTCCCTCCAACGTGTCCTGGGTCTTCCTCTGGGCCTCCTTCTGGGCCTCCTTCTGGTGGGACGTGTCTGGAACACCTCACCAGGGAGGCGTCCAGAAGGCATCCTAAACAGATGCCCAAGCCACCTCAACTGGCTCCTCTCGACGTGGAGAAGCAGCGGCTCTACTCTGAGTCCCTCCCGGATGATCGAGCTTCTCACCGTCTTTAAGGGAGAGCCCAGACACCCTGCGGAGAAAACTCATTTCGGCCGCTTGTATCCGAGATCTCATTCTTTCGGTCACAATCCAAAGCTCGTGACCATAGATGAGGGTGGGAACATAGATCGGTCGGTAAATTGAGAGCTTCGCCTTTTGACTCGGCTCTCTCTTCACCACGACAGACCAGTACAGCGCCCGCTTCACTGCAGATGCTGCACCTATCCGCCTACAGTACGTAACCAACGTTCTATTTTGTATAGACTTCGCCCTTTAAGGCTGTCGCTGGTGGGTTAGGGGTGAAGCAGATGTAGTCTCTGCCTCACTGGGTCCATTCGAACACAATAAGAAGCGCCCGCTTGCCCAGAAACAACATCTTGTCACTCAGCTCTCCATGTGCATAATGCATGTGCGTAATTACGCGCACCATGCACAGACGCGCACTGCGTAATTAACGCGTTCCGAGTGCATGAACGCCCCGGAAAGGTTTTCAACAGAAAAGAGGAGAGGCTGAAAAAGGCCGTGAACAAAGCAGCTCCACGGCTCTTCAATACGAACATATTAATAATAAATGAACTGATTATTAATCAAATTAACTGATTGATGACAGTAGTCATGAACTGATTAATAACCATAAAACAAGAACAACAGTCATAACCTGTGACTGATAACCTCTCACACTGTAAATGCATGCAGTCAGATGTGATTTTAAACGAGATTCCATGAAACAACAATATTCATTCTGTTAGAACACTAAGGACAGAATGTGTCATGGAACAAGCCGTCACATCATGTAAATAGACGCGAATAAATGAGCAGGATGTTGACCACATGGTCGCAGTGCAAATATCCTGCATTCACATACCATTATGCAAAGCAGTCGAAGATGCGATACCTCTGGTCGAGTGTGCCCTGAGGTTGTCAGGAGGCTCTAAATCTGATGCTCTGTAGGCTTCAGAAATTGCCTCACGCAGCCAGTGTGACAGGCGCTGGGTGGATAACGGGCGACCTACAGGTGCATCTCTATAATGCACAAACAAATGTTGAGCCTGACGCAATTCCGCCATGCGTGTTACGTAACACGTCAATGCACGTACAGGGCAGAGAAGATGGAAAGATGCTTCTTCTTCTGATTGAGGGGAGGAGGGAAAAATCCATCCAACGAAATCGCTCTTTATTTAAAAGAGCTCATGATGTTTTAGGCATAAACGCTGGGTTAGGCCTCAGATCAGCTGAGCTGCCGTCAGCCTGAATTCTGAGACATGACGGAGCAACAGAGAGGGCAGATAAATCACTCACTCTCTTAGCGGATGTTAAAGCCAACAGCAGGGCTGTTTTAAGAGACAAGAATTTAATTGGAACCTGATTTAGTGGCTCGAATGGAACTTTGATCAGGACCTGCAGGACCAGCGTTAAATCCCAATGTGGAGCAAGTGGGCGTGAGACAGGCCTGCGTCTCTGTACACCTTTTAAAAAACGCTTCATTAGCGGATGATTAAAAGCTGTTCTGTCCCCAAAAACCTTTGTGACAGGAAGAGATGGCTGCAGCATATGTTTTAATCGTGCTGAATGTCAGATTTCTGTCCATCAGCTGCTGCAGAAAGGACAGCATGCCACCTAGTGGACATGAGGTGACCTCTACACCTTTCTCCGTACAGCAGCGCTGAAAAGCTGTTCACTTGGATGTGTACAGTGCTGTGGTAGATGCAGCACGTGAATCCTGGATCGTACGCACTACAACTTGAGAGAGACCCATCCTCTCTAAGCGGATCCGCTCAGCGGCCAGACTCAAAGGTGCTGGCCTAGTTCTGGGTAACTCCTGATTGCTCCTCCTGCCTGGAGGAGAGCATCCTCCCTCCACGGCAGTTTCCACGGGCGCCCCGATAACAGGTGTCATAGAACTGGGAACCATGATGCGTTCACGCGCTCGGGAGCCACCAGGAGAGCTGTCAGTCCCTCCTCCTGAACTCGGTTCAGAAACCGTGATATCAGAGGGAGTGGGGAAAATGCGTAAAGAAGCATTTTGGGCTACGGGCTGTGAGCAAATGCGTCCACCCCTAGCGGTGGTTCGACCCGCGGGCTCAGTGAGAACCATAGTTGACAGTGAGCGTTCTCATGTTACAAACAGGACCACAGCCGCTTTGCTAAATTTCTGCCACGTCTGAGCCATCAGCTCTGGATGGGGGGTCCGGTTCCCGTGACACGGACCATCCCTGGATATCACATCTGCCCCCTGTTCAGAACACTGGGGATGTACACTGCTCTGATGGAGAGCAGATTTTGGTGTGTCCAACACAGCAACTGTCTCACAATGTGTAACATTTGGGCTGAGCGCGCACCCCCCCGCCGGTTATGTACGCAACGGTCACTTGCTGTCTGTGTGAGTCAACACATGATCATTCCGCAGCACAGAGGCAAAATGTTGAATCACATTCAAAAACCGTGACACTCCAAAAACATTTATATGAGCTGCTGTGTGGGGTGGCCACAGCGCCCCCACAGCTCGAGAAATGTATGTGCCTCTGTGAAGTCTGACACGTGTGACGTAGGTCTGGTGACGGAAACAGCTGTTATCACTCTGCCGGTTTCACGTGAGTTGCACTGCTGCCACCTGTCTGTAAAAGTGGGTCAGCATCAACAGATGTCCAGATAAAGCAGAATTCTCCTCCCTGCTCTGTGTGGTGCTGCAGAGCGACTCGACGCATTTTAAATGGAAATGTTGTCTCACAGTTCAAAATTGACAAATCCAATATGAATCTCATCCTTCCGGTCCGTTTGGGACCAGGAAATGATGAGAGTGGAACCCTGCATTTTCCTCTCCTTCTGGGACCCTGGAAACTACATTTTATTCAGAATTTCCTGAGCTTCTGGAGAGGGGACGAGATCTGTTCTAGAGGTGACAGAAAACGTCCCTAGAGTTCCTCCGAACGGGGGTTTGAGCTGTATTGCAGCGTGAATCCCCTGCTGATAAACGGTTCATCCATCTATCTGGAGCGAACGCTCGTTGCCACTCCGTGTAACGTTCAGGAAGCAGGCACGCATTTATGTTGCATCATGTTATTTATGGACGCCAATCACCGCCGTCATGTGTGCCTCACTCAGGCTGCGGGCTCACATCCATGCTGATGTGAGCTGGCGTGCGCTGAGGGAAGGTGCGCGCGCCCCGAGCATGCGGAACCGGTTTAGGACTGCTGCGGGTGCGCGGCGTTCTTATGCCGCGTACAGGCTGCGGGCTCACATCCATGCTGATGTGAGCTAGCGTGCGCCGAGGGAAGGTAGGAAGGTCGGGAACCCTGGAAATTACCTCTTTTACCAGAAGTTCCTGGACTTCTACATTTAGGGATGAGACCTGGTCTGGTGATGACAGAACTGTCTCTAAAAACTCCTGTGAACGGAAGGGGTTGAGCTGCAAATTGTAGCGTATAACCCCTGCTGATCAGCCTGCTTATCCATCTGTCTAGAAAGCACGTCCGCTGCCACTCTGCGTAACGTTCGTGGAGTGGGCACGCGTTTATGTGGTGTGTCATGTTTCTTACGGACGTCAGCCAGTTACAGCCTCGACCGCAGTCATGCATCGCAGAAGTGTGCTCCGCGTGCCCCAAGGCGAGGTTTTCTCGAAAGGGCTCTGAGCACGCTTCGGCTGCAAGTTCACATTCATGTCGATGTGAACCGGCGTGTGTTGAGGAGAGGTGTGCGCACCTTCATCAACGCAGCGCTGTTTGGGTGAAAGCTGCCGGCGCCGCGGGAAAGTGCGTTTGACACCGCTGCGGTGAGAAGCGTGCAGCTCCTGCTGAGAGCGAGGTTTCCCACTGGACTCATTCTGCGGTCTCACAATCATGCTGATGCGAGCCGGCATGTGCTGGGGAGAGGTGTGCGCGCCTTCATCAACACAGCGTTGTTTGGGTGAAGGCTGCCGGCGTCGCGGGAACATGCGTTTGACACCACTGCGGTGAAAAGCGTGCAGCTCGGGCTGAGAGCAAGGTTTTCCACTGGACTCGGTCTTCTGAACACATTCACTTTCGACTGCTGTGTCATGCGAGCGTCTCGTGTTTATCTTTGAGCTGCGGTGATTTTGAAAAACTTGTTTTAGGACACCGGCTCATTTGTGTGGAGGATGTGTGAGGAGAAATCGCTGTGAGATCATTTGAACTGACAGACAGGCTGAATCAGACACTTTAATCTTTGAATGATGTTCGCGTTTTATTTCAAAACTCCTGTCATTGCACACACACATCCCCCGCAAGGCGTCATTCCTGAATCTTCTCCCCTGTGAACCCTGCGGTTTGTTGTGGGCGCCGCCTGTTGGTTATCTCTGGGAAATGCTGAACCGCTTGTTGCTGGGATGAGAAGGGCTGTTCTCTGACGGGCGGGGCTGGCGTCGGAGTGGAGCGGGAGGATGCTGCTGCGGAACGTCTCTGTTTGCTGCCTTTAGCCACGACGAGCCTTCCAGCGGGCCGGATGAGGCATGCAGCTTGGTCAAATGGCGCACAGTCTCCAACACTTCCTCCAGTTTTTTCGATTTCTTGAGCATGTCCTTGAAAATTGGCTCCGAACAGCACGTCCGCTTCTCCAACAGGGAGGGGGGACAGCAGACGAGGCACACGGGTTGAGGGTGACATCAGACGCCCTGCAGAGGGAGCTCTTGTCTCCTCAGGCAGGTCTGTCCCTCCGGCCTGAGAAGCTGTACGTCAGCGGCGCAATTCATTGTTCGCTGCGGCCGCCTGGAACACATACTGGTGAGCTCGGTTGGAGAGCAACGTCACCGTCTGGTCATGCCTCCCCGGAGGCGCAGGATGCTGGTCCAACCTGGACACCTTTGCTCTGAGAGCCTCCGCCAAGCTTGGCTCCGGGGGTGGGGGCAGCGAGGGAATTTCCATTTGGTAAAACCCCTCCACTCTGGTGATGGGCGCGGATGTGGTAAACCAGCGCTCTCAGTCTATCAGGTCTGGCTGCGGCCTGGTTCCAGTAGGACGTCACTGCTGGGAAAACGAGGCCAGATGGGATCAGGACGACGAGCCGGGGTGGAGCCAAAAAACCTTCCCGCTAGATCATCTGATCTGGGAGGGGGGAGGAGAGGGACGGAAAAAAGTCCCTTCATGTCAGCCGCCTCCTGGATTATGCCGGGCAGCTCCAGAGGAGGGCACCGACGGCCGGGAGCGGTGTGGTCGCCCATGCGAAAAAGGTCCGGGTGGGTGAGCATTCGCTCAGCCTCCCTCATTCTGACACTACGCTCTCCAGGAGGGAGTGAGCAGCGGGGGCTGCTGCTGACGTCGCCTGTCCCGGAGGAACCATCTGATTCGCTCCGAGAGTCGGCGATAAAAGAAAAAAAAAAAAGATGGTGTCGTCCAGCGTGTAGCGAACCGCCACTGAGAAATATTCCTCGGCGCTCACCTTGAAACAAGGCTGCTCATCTGCTTCTCCTCGGGGAGGAGAACTCACCGGGACGGCAGGAGGTTGGCGTGGCGGGACCACAGGCAGCCTTAACAAAGGTTGTGCTGGTCAAGCTGGACAACTTCCCTTCTTCATTCTTCTGATAGTGCTATTAGCTTGCTGAAGAAAAATGGGAGCCGATTACCCGCTCTTAAAATAATTTATATGGACCGGGTGGGGCCCACACAACAGGTGGGCGTGGACAAAATTTTTTCAGTGCGATGCTTTGCATGACGGGATAAAACCCACCAGCGACAGCCTTAAAGGGCGAAGCCTATACGAAATAGAACTAACCACAATTTTCACTCTGCTACTGTCTTTACTTACTCTGCTCAACCTGTTTTGTATTTGTAATTATTTTTTCTATCCTAACGTGTTTTTTTTTTTTGTCTTTCAGATACACCTGGACCTATATCTGTACCTGGACCTATACCTGGACCCAAGGGCGTCAGAAGCATCCATAATGTGGGGGGGACACAATGAATGTGTGTAGGTGTGTGTGCGCGCGAGTGTGTGCACGTGTAAAAAAAAAAAAGGTGTTCACTAGTGAACAAAAAAAAAAAAAAAACAGCATTTCACCTAGATTTCATTTAATTCCACACATTTAAAACATGTTTCTCACCAAGTTTGTGTAAATTCATCTGTGGGTTTAAAGACATTTTAACTTTAATACACTTTAACACAGAGCGTCAGGTCGGCACTATTTGTGTTTACAGAGAAATAAAAACCATCACCACTGGACTTTTTTTTACTTGTGTTCAACACTACTCATCTAAACTATGTTTGTCATGAAGCTTGAGGACAATAAGGTGTGGGGTTTAAAAGACATTTCAACTTTAATGCACCTCAACACACAGAGTCTCTTACACCTGCAGCGTCACAGTTACTGCTAAGATAAGATGCTACAGACGTAGTGCTCCTCTTCTCTCCTCCTAGCATGAATATATGTTTCTGATCAACCCCCTGGTCAACCACTGCCCACACTAAGCTGCTAAACTGGCGAGCTAGTAACACAGGTACCTCCACCTGTGCGCGTTTTCTGCAGAGGCAAGAGGCAGGAAGGGACAGTGGAGAGATGGAGGTAACCAGGAAAACCTGGAGTGGCGTTTTAGTGGCTTGAATATTCTCCTATTAATCAAGTGGAATGGATTCGATCACGAAGAAAGAGAAACTGCACCGCCTGAACTAATGTTTCGTAGTAAAAGTGGGGGGTCAAAATTAAGGTTTTTTTAATGTGTGTGTGTGTGTGTGTGGGGGGGGGGGGACTTGTCCCCTTCACATATAATGGTTGCGACGCCTATACCTGGACCTATACCTGGACCTGGACCTACCATTCTGTGTTCGTCTGTCTCTCCTTCCTGTCCTCTCAACCTGCCGGTCAAAGCAGATGGTCTCTTGTCCTGAGCTGGTTCTGCTGGAGGTTTCTTCCTGTTAAAAGGGAGTTTTTCTTTCCACTGTTGCCACTGTGCTTGCTCAGGATGGGAGACTGCAATGAAGCCAAGATTCAACTTGTCTGCTGGATTCCTTAGATAGAGAACTTTACTAACTGGCTTTTATGTGAATGTTCCTGTAAAGTGCCCTGAGGCAACTTTGTTGTGATTTGGTGTTATATTAACTGAATTAAATTGAAAATGCAAAGATTATGAGACTTATGTGGATGTAAGACTCTTTTATCTTCTCAGTAAATGAGGTCTAGTGTAAGGAAATTAAGGTACACAAATCGCATGCCATTCAATGTTTCAATAAAGTGATTATGTCGGTAAGACATGCACCTTGTCTCAATCCGTTGCAGCTGTCTGTGATCAAAAGGATAAAAATAAATAAAAAAAACAAGTAACGTTTTCAGCTTCATTCTAATGTTATGAACCAAAGTTTCATTCTTTGTTTGACCAGTGACATTTTCCTGTTTTCTTTCTGTTACAGCAGTTCAATTTGTGTCTGCTTCTAGATGGGATCACGTGTGACTAACGTATCTGGAGTGTACTTCAGCATGCTCGTGTTAAATGTATGTATTGTGATGGTTTGACACAAGTACCATTATAAAATAGAATGAGTAGTTCAAGGACCCATATCTTCAGTTTACATCCCTAAAGGCAGAAGTCAACAGATCAGAGCATGTACAG